GATGTTAGTGGGCCTGGCGGACCGCAGTAGGGCCTCCAGAGCCCAAATTCAGATTCCGTATCCCCAGCTGTGGCCATCCCAGCGCTTCTCCCGTCTCTGAGACCACTGACCGCACACCTGGTCCCTCCCCAGGTGCAGGGCCTGACTCCTGGGGTTGAGGCCCTCCCCCACCCCCCTTGCTCTCAGAATCCTGGTGTTAGGGGATGTGTGAGTGCAGGCCCAGCCCCTGAAGACAGCGGTGTTCCCGTCAGAGATCAGCAGAAACAGCCAGCACGATAGCAGCAGCTGCCACTGAGTTTCTGGGCGCTTTTACGTTGGGCTCCGTGTTTTTTCTGTGTGTCCTAAGACGTCTTCAGTGAACAGGTGTTGCTCTGTGGTCAGCAAGAAATAGTAAATGTGACTTTTAGGAAGTAGTGGAAAGGTCCTCTGAGTGTGACTCTGGGGGCCAAAGGTTTACACAGGTCCCGTTCGGCCAGCACCCTGGCGGCCTCGTCGTTCAAGGAGGCAGCCCCTGTGGGGCACTGGCCCGAGAGAGGTTCCCCTTCAACTTCTCTCTGGTTCCCCTGTGCTCAACTGCGAGAAGGCCAGCCCTGGGGCCGGGCTTCTGCCTCAGAGAACCCTGGACGGCAGGACAACCGTGTGGTTCCAGGGAAGGACGAGAAAGGTCAAGGCCTCCTGTCTCTAGGAAAGGTCAGCGAGGACATCGAATTACGGGGCTGTGCTGGGAACAGAATGTTCACGGTGTTGTCAGCAGGAACCTGGGGAGGAGGGGCACGTCCCCACTTGCTCCCCTCCACTTACACATGCACATCCCCACTCACACACACACTCCCATTTCCACGTGCATGCTCACACATGGAGGCAACACTCACGCTTCCACACCCACACTCGGTCACATGTGCTCCCACATACAACACTGCACACATTCCTATGTGCCCCTCTTCACTGCTGACCTTCTGCCCCAAGGGATCCTAGTAAAGGCCCATGTCTGGGCTACGTTATGGGTCCACCTGGGGGCTTATAGGGAGTAGGGCTGCCCCAGAGAAGGGCTGTTTCTCTAGACATGGTGGGAGTGGTTGGCCTAGACAGGGGGTCCCAACCAGGGCACTCAACTGAATCCCCTGGGTGGATTTGTGAGGTGCTCAGGCCCGGGCCCCACCCTGGACGGCAGGTGCTTGTGGGTCTAGGCTGGAGCCAGCCACAGGCCGACTCTTCGGTCACGGCCCCAGTGAGGCCACGCTTACCTGGGGCCCAGGCCTTGCTGCCTATTTGCAGCCTGGTCTGGGAGACTGGGGGTTAACATGAGGCCCCACCACTGCTGGGCATTACATTTCAAACACACACACACACACACACACACACACACACACACACACCTCCACAGGCAGCAAAAAAGAGGAAAAAAGTGTGTTTTTTTTTCAGGTGCTAAAAATATTATCAGGAAATACTTTTCAGCAATGTGCCGTTTTAGGTTCCCCTCTGGACTCAA